TCGCACACTCTTTTTACACATTTATAAACTGATAAACCATGTTAATGCCTTACATCTATATACGCACTCACACACACACACACACACACACACACACACACACACCATACGATACAAGGGACAAAATTCAGTTTTTTTTGCAGCAACAAAATGACGATACACAATTTGCTTTAACGAATTACCATTTTGTGGGATTCGAGTTTATTTCGCCGTTTTGTTATCATTTTTTTTCTGTTGCCATGTATGTGTGTGTTGTTGTTGTTCTTTTTTGTGTTTGTTTGTGTTCATGTTGCAAACACATCGTCTCTGTTTTATCTGTTGTCTTTTCGCTCGTGTGTTTTTTTGTTGTTGTTGTTGCTGTTGTTGCTGAAGCTCAATGAATTAATTTCTTCAATTCTGAATTCGAGTGAGTGTATGGCGTATGCATGTGCAAATTCGTATATTTGATTTTTTTTTCATCTTTCTCTCTCTCCATACTTTTGTTGTTGCTCGATAAATTATTTATTTTCATTTGTTTGCCTTTGTTTTTCCGCTTTTTGTGTTCAAAGTCATTAGCAATTTTTGAGAGCAAGAGCATTGAGTGTGTTTAAATGAATTTGATTGAAAAGTTTGACGGAATCTGCAATTCGATTAATAGAACGAAAAAAAAGTAGACAAAAAGCACGGTGTCAGCATTGGAGCAGCATTTGAATTGAAGTTCATTGAAAACGTAACGAACGGGGAAAACCTTCGTAAATGCAAATTTCAAATCGAAATCGAATTGATGTGTTGTTGTAAAAGTGTTATGCGTGCACTCAATGTACTATACGTTGTGTTGGTTAGCTTTTTTTGGGCTGTTATTGCGATTGCAATTTAACGTGCGATTCGAATTGTTCAGTCGAAAATTAAATTTTTAACGCGCCAGTAACATACAAACGAGCACACAACAGCGAACCGAAAATGAATTTCTGAGCGATCGTGAAATATTTAAGCCGCATTACGTGAATTGCAACATAATACAAAAAAAGAGTATGTGCTTGTGTGTGTGTGTGTGTGTGTGTGTGTGTGTGTGTGTGGCTGTGTGTTTAGCCCTGACTTGAAGATTCATAAGAGATATTTACGGTTTTATTGCCATACAATCGGCCATATGTTACGAAAAGCGATAACAAATGGCATTTTCAATGTTGTTGTTGTTGCCATTATCATTATCGATAATTCCATCGAAATTTTCATCATTTACTTCCATCTCTAACTTCATTTCGTACATATAATTGCTCCTAATTAATGTACCACGTTCTCAGTCTGCGTCAAGAAAAAAAAAACAACGCAAAAGTAGTTAGTAAGTTGTTTTCAAGGCTTTTTCACGTTTTTATGTATTGTTTTTTTCGAGTGTGTACGCGCGCGCGCTCGTGTTTTTTTCTTTTCATTTCAGTATTTTTTTTATTCGGGAGCAAAAAACAAACGTGCACTGAATAATCTAACTTTTATTACTTTATAGTAAGTGAGATGCTTTCGGCAACAAAGTATTAAAAAAAAAGAAACTTGAAAGTGTTTTTCTGTGGCAAAAACGTCTTAGGAAATGTCCAAAATGTAAGCGAAAAGAAAGAAAAAAAACTGTACACCCTGTGTGTGTGTTTTTTTTTTTTCATTTTTTCGTTACACTTAAATGGATTTTATATATTTTTTTCCTCTTACGTAAAGCGACACACCGCATCGGCCACCGATTTAGACAGTTTTTTTCTTCTTCTTCTTCTTTGTCTTCTTTCAGTTCCTCTTTGTTAGCTCAAATGGAAACTGTAACTGTTGTGTGTGTGTGCTTCTTATGTTTGTTGCAACAAATTGGGAAAAATGCGATTCCAAGAAGCAGAAAAATCGAAGGAAAAAAAAATTGTGTTCGCGCGAAAGTGAAAGACGCTTGCATTTTAACAACGAAAAGACAAACAGACACACAATCAAAGGTATTTTCTTTCATGGACGTTGTTGTTTTTTCTCTTTTTTTCACCATAGCGCGTTGTTTTCGTTTGGATGCTTAAGCGTGAAGAAAACTCATTATTTTTTAAAAACCGATGAAAATTTGTTTGTCAGACGTAACGCCTGAAATGGCTACGCGCCGCGCTCAACGAACACATTTATTTAACGAAAAAATTGTGCACCGCGGATCGTGCGGGTATTTCATTCTCTGTATTTCACTTTCATTCGACCATTTACTCGACGAATGGCTTGTTTTCTTCTTCTTCTTCTTCTTCTTCTATGTTCTTCGCTCTTTCCTCGTTCGCTGGTCTCTCTCTCTCTCTCTCTCTCATTCTCAATATATCACAATGCAAATTTTTATTGGCATTACCCTACAAACAAGTCATGCTTGCAACCGCTATGTGTTACTATAAAACAGTAAATAAAAAGTCTACAATCAGCACAAAATCCAATCTAAAGAAGAATTGTGTGTGTGTGTGTGTGTGTGTGTGTGTATGTTTCTTCGCTTCCTATAATCCATTCCATTTGTTGTGCGGCACGTTTGAATTTGCATCGAGTTTGGTTTACGAGGTTGAGATGAAAACTCTTTACCGTAGACTGACCACGTCTTTTATTCTCCTATTCATTTAAACTTGATGACTTTTGCTTCTTCTTCTTCTTTTTCTTCGATTTGTGCAAAACAAAACATGCTAAACGCTCACGCACAACGAGAGAAACTTTTTCGCAAACCTTTTGAAGCGCTTTAACCGTTTTTCACCCGAAACATTGATTCAGAGCGTAGTTTGTTTGTTTTTCTTTGTTTTTTTTTTCTTCTTTCTTTTTTTCTTTTGCTATCGGTGTCAAGAAAACTCGCGCACATCACATTTTCGCGAAAATCTTTTGTGTTTTTGTTTCGAACAGCCTAATTTCACTTGTTATTTCTGTTTAGCTCGTCGTTATTGTCGTCGTCGTTGTCGTCGTCGTGAATACTCTCTTTTTAGCTATTCAATTCTTTATGTTTTGTTGCTTTGCTTTTTCAATCTGTTGCTCTCGGTGTGTGTGTATTTGTGTGCGTGCGTGTGTGTTTTGTGTGAGTCCTGAGACACACGGTGCGACTGAAAGTCGTCTGATATTGTTATTTTCAGTAGCACGTCAAAAAATAAAGTACACAGCACAAATTTTTTTTACGACTAAACGATATATTTACACCGTAAATCTGATTTTTGCTCTCTCTCTCTTCACTTCTGCGAACGACAAAGAATGAAAAAGACAGAGCACATACACGACAGAATATTTAATCGTACGCGTGGATTCACACCAAAAACGCACTTGTCAGGATCCCGGGATTGACTTCGTGTTATTATTGTTATTATTATTATATTTTTTGTCCTTTTTTTCTCGGTTCGTTTTTTTTCCTCTGTCAGCTACCGTTTGTTGTTGTTGTTCACGTTTTTTTTTTCCGGTGCACAATAATAAAATGTGAAAAGTACGCGTATAGAGCAGATTTACGCGCGAAATGATTGGCCAATTTTCATTTAATGCGTTTTACTGCCGGTTCGTTTAATTAATGAAATATGACTGGCTTTGATAAACTGCTGCTACTTGCCACCTTTGTGTTGTAGCACACAAAATGTTTTGTGTTGTGTGTATCTCAGCACACCTCACTCCACTTGGTCGTCATCGTCGTTTTCTCTCTCTCTCTCTTTCTATTCGGCTCCCCCCATTCCCACTCTCTTTTTACTCTACACACAACGTAACAGCAAACGCTTGCCATACTACACACAACACACTCAATGTGCATAACGTTAGCTCGGTCGCGATGAATGAGAGACAGAAAAAGATACGAACGAAGAAAAATAAAACGGAAGCATTGCATAGAGCACATTGCTATGTGTGTTTAGATAAACTTGTTTGCTATTAGTTAACTACTAGAAGCGCTCATTTAAAGGTTATTGTGTGACTGAGACAGAGCATACAACGAATGCATGTCTTGACTCTCGGGTTTCGAAGCTCACTGGCTTTGGATCTGATTTAGCACGCACAATAAAACGCTTAATTTCAGAGCGATAGCCTGAATGGCTCACATTCATAATGTGAGCAAAGCAGAGATAGAGAGAGAGAGAGAGAGAGAGAGAGTAAGAGAATTTGTTCTCAGAATTGACGCTCTTTGTCTTATCGATTCGAGGATACACAAACAGCAAAGGATGATCTCGTATACACACGGGCCCGGGAATTTTGGTTTCGATATCACACGGAAGATTGTACGTGCTGAAGAATAATGAAACGAAATTGGAGCGAAAAGCGGAACACACAAAAACACGTTAATCAAATCAATGTAAACAAATCAATTAAAACTTGCTCACCAGCCAATCAACGGAAACGATACCAGTATACCCACCGTATGCCCCGGTACACACAATTTCATTTCCTCTGACTAAAATGACAGCACTTATGCGCTTTTTCTGATAAAGATCTTTCACACAATATTCAGGTAGAAAAAAAGAGTGTGACGACTGGACTGAGAAGCAAGTGATTGCGCGGATTGTGTGTGTGTGTGTCTGTGTCGTAACTTTTAGTTGCGTCGTTGATGCGTGCATTTTTACCGTTTGACAAATTATCACGTAATTTGTGTGTGAAAAGATTTTTTTTTTATTAGATAGATACCAGGTACTTGGAGCGACTTTTTGGTCTACGACGAGTCTATCACAGACCCGTTTACAGAGAAAGTCACACAAAATGATTGAGGTATGCGAGGCGAGCGAGCGAACGAACGAACGAGCAAGCACACACAACGGAAGGCATGCAAATGATTATGAGGATGGCTAAACGATGAAAACAGTAGCTGTTAATGTGAACGATCTATGTGTAAGCTGATTAAGACGATGTAAGCGCTAAGATTGTCTCATTCATTCTCTTTTTGCCCTCCCCATTATATAAGTACGTTTTATACACTGTTGTCTATATCTATCCCATTGCCATCGCATCTCCAGCTCCATCTGATTTGATGTGCTACACACAGGGCATCTGTGTGTTACACGATAATGCTAGAAAAATATGTTTTTCATCCATACCTTATTTTCTGTATCAGGTGCATGATAACGAACTTCCAACGATCCACCAAGAACAGCATACCAAAAGCGCCCTTGTTCACCAGCTCGAAATACTGCAACAAAAAAGACAAACACACAAAACAAACGAAAAATGCCAACGAACGGATTCAGTGAAAATGTTCATCATGTAATTACATCAATGTAATTTATGCGCAAATGAGCGACGAGACGCGGGACGAACTGAGCCAAAATTCAAAGTCTAGCGCCTCGTTGTATTTCGGTCATTTGTTTCTTTATCTCGTTAATCTATGATGGTGGTAATTAACATGCGATTAACAAAAAGAAAAGCACAGAGAAAAAAAAACCATACAGAGGAGCGACGAGGGAGACGGCGGTGGAGAGGAGAACACAAACGCAGATATACAAATGAAAATGGAAATAAAAGTTAATCCAAATGATGGCAATATGATGGCTTAGCAAAGCACCAAATTAATGGTCAAAATGGCTCGATAAAGAAATAGTTATTACGCTTGTGATGCTTGATAGCACGATAAATCATATGATATGAAGGGAAAATGAGAGAGAGAGAGAGAGAGAGAGAGAGAGAGAGAGAGAGAGAGAGAGAGCGGAACGAATGAGAAAAAGAAACAAACAAATCGAAACTGACTCAATGCGAATAATCCGAAAGCGCAAATGAAACGAAGTGAGAGAAGAGAAACAGAAAAAAAACGAAATTCCGGAAAAAATAATCTATAAATGGCAATACTCACAGGTGATTCCTTTCTCCAAATCCTCGTAGAAGCCGCACATAGCCAGTTGCTGCAGCGCTGAGCCGGGCAAACGGCATAGTGGTTCAACACGTCGTAAACGACAGGATATAAGTTCGGCATCACGTAAATTTCGATCACACGGTCTGCAGCAAGTCAAGATGAAGCAAATATATCGTCGTCGTCGTCGTCGTCGTGGTTGTCGTTTGTTGTTGTCCGCCCCGAAAAACCAATAGAGCCGCAGATTGCGATAGAGATAATACGACGCATGAGGAACAGAGAGAAAAACATTAAGTAAGTACACAATACATCCATAATCTTGTGGGAGGATATCCTTGTTAATGTGTAATAAAAGAAATTGTGTGACATGCACCTCAGCGTTGAGCTATTTTTGGTTTTCGTTTTCGTTCAATTGGACTGTGGATGAGTGCGAGTGTATGTTGGCTGGCTGGCTAGCTAGCTGGTTGGTGGATTTTTATTTTTGCACAGAAGCAATCCACAACGTCAATAAATTCATAGAACATGCTGAGTATCATTCGCGAATAGTCAGCATTTGACTCGCAGCCACATACAACACATTTTGCATTCAGACACAAGATGAGGACAAAACCACCACGCGAATATTGTCGACATAATTTTCAAGCATTTCGTAATTGTGTCAATAGAAAATGCAAGAGAAGAGAAGAAGCAGAAGCAACAGCACAAAAAAAAGCATTCGACGGCACACAAACTCAAAGCAATATCGAAGGGACCGCGCACATTCACTTATGCACAAACACATCGAGATACACACGCGCGAGCAAGCGAGCGCCAGGAGACAGAGAAATATATACGAGAAAATGAGATCGTCTTCTTGGTTACTGTGATAAAAAAAAAATTATTATGTATAAATCTAACGCAACGGGGGAAAAACAAGACGGAAATAAAGCGCAAACGAATACCAGAAAATATACAACGATATGATTTTCTATTCTTGTACACGCGACATGGAACTCACTGCTAATGCATTTCTTTATTCGCATTTGCCAATGATGTTGGTTCTGTCATTCGCATTATCATTCTAGTTTTCTCTGTATCCCGGTTTCTTTCGCTCCAGCTCTAGCTCTCGTTCGTTCATTCTCATTTGTCAACTGCAATGATTTAGGATTTTGTTTATCATTTTTTCCTTTTTTTTTCTGCACATTCATTGGTACGGCCGCCATCTCGATCCAATATATCGATTTTAAGAGCTAGTTTATTAGTTCGCAGCCTTTGGACGGGTATTATAATGATTAAAAGGGCAAATCAACACAGAGAGAAAGAGAGAAATAGAGAAAGAGAGAGAGAGAGAGCAATTCCTTTGCAATCAAACACTGTACTGGGATGCAGATAAGCTGCTGGAGATCATGCAGTTCACTGAATGATAATCAATTTTATGTTTGAATAGTTCAGTTCAAGACCATAAAATACAATCAAAAGTGGATGGGAGCACACATGAATGAAAAAAAAAAACAGCAGCAGCAACAACAGCGCTGGCGACCGAGGAAAGAATTGTGGCAAGCGCAACGCAAAGTGAAAAGAGAATGCAATTTTACGATGAAAGTAAATACGACGCTAATGAAAATCAACGCTAGCAACAACAATTTACACACACACACACACACACACACACGCACTTATAAACTGTTTCCACTCGATATGCCAACGTAAATATATATCGAGCTGGCTTGCTATTCTCTTGATTGTGCGCTGTTAATGGTGCATGCATAAATTTTCGATGGGATTATCGAATGGTTTTGAACATTATAATTAATGGATTTAAATATCGCTAACGAATCTCTTCAAGACTATTGAATGCATTCGACTCAGCAAATCTGAACGCTGCTCGTATATGCACACAATCAGCGATTCGGGCCTGTGTTTGTGACAACGATGACGGCAGTAACAGTGATGTGTGTACAGGTGTGCGCAACATTTTTCCCACAGCGGTTTCCAATCCATCCGTTAAATGATGATGGCGATGATGACGACGAAAAACGAAAAAAAAAGTAGAAATGTGAAATTGATGCGCGATTTAGAAATAAAAACGATCCAATCACCCAGAAGCGGAAGCCAATCCAAGTCGCTTAACAACATACACATGCATAAATATATAAAATATATAATTCTCAAGTGAAAAATTAGCAAATTGAAAAGCTTAGGCACCATGAATAAATCGACTGGTGGTTGCACGTGCCATGCCTTGCAAACGAACAAGCGACACACTCAATCTCTTTTTCCTTGTGCTCCGCTTTTCTTTACTAACACAATGTAAAATGTGTCATGCCCATGTCGAAATGATTTATTATAGCGCACACCCGGTTCTATCGTACAGCTCTAACTATAGCTAAAGCACTTGCTCACCCAGAAATAACATTGCAATTATTGATAAACGTCTGTTTTACATTCGAACGAATAAAGAACATGATTTGAATTGTAAATTTTGATAATGACAAAAGAAACTTCCGTCGAACATGCTGTTTTCTCTATCACTCACTCTTCATCTGGGGTGTCAACATACGTTTTGTGTGGCGCGCCACACACAAAAACGGAACACGTAATGAAATTTTTTCCCGTCGAAAATCCTTGAATGGAAAATATCAAAAAGAAGCAGCAGAAAAGGAAGAGAGAGAGAGAGAGAGAAACAAAAATCGTGGCATAATTCCATTTGCATTTAATTTTAATTCGAAAATGCGATGAAAGACACGGAGAGAGAGAGAGAAAAAGAGATTGAGAGAGCGAATGAAGCTTGTTTGATCCTTCTACCGTACATTTTAGAAATGGTGTGCACTTTTTGTCAGTGGGCTTGGAGAGTGTAAACGAACAGTTCTTGTTGGCATCTCGTTCGCATTGTTATTTGTAGCTTTGGATTACATAAATGTCATTTCCATTTGACAAAGCTTATGTAGAATGGCATTTTCGGTGTGTAATACAGTCGTGTTAAGATCCAATTTTCCACAAAAATCCAATAGAATTTTCAATTATAATTTCAAATATGAATTGATCCTTGCTTGATGGTTTTTGTCACTAAAAGTTCTGAAATTTATCACACGGTGCTGTGGTTTTGCACTTTTCTCACACTTTTTTCCGTTTCGTTTCCGTTGCTTTCTATCCATTTTTTGCTAGCAAAGCACAATATGCATTTCGAAATTGAGAGAGGCGACAGTGGTGGCAGAGATTTTTGGTGTGTGTGTGTGTGTGTGTGTGTTGAGAGTTGACTTTTATTCAGTCTCATTCCCATTTGCCGGAGCGATGCGATCCGGTGATTTACAATGTGATGAGTTCATTTAGTGTGTGCGCTTCGCAACTAATTGGATTCTTTAAGCCAAGACTGTTGGTTGCGTGCTACCATGAATTACATATTTAACAATGTGTATGAAAAGTTAATTGAAGTCTTACAGTGTCAGCATAAACGCCCCGAAAAATTGTGTGTGCCATGGCACAACACAACACGCTCACACTCTCGCTCTTGACACCGATTGACAACAGAAATAACAGAAAAGATAAGCCCCTCCCGAGAATGTTTGCATTTCATCTGATTTCCATCTTCAGACTTTATCTCTCTCTCTCATTCATTCACTCACTCACTCGAATCGTTCATCCACTCCGGCCCATACCCTTTCGAAAACATGATTACACGCATCCGTAGGTGAGCATCAAACCGAAATTGATTTGTGACAACCATATAAAATATGCATATATAGACACATTTGATTCATAAGTTTTGTTGTTTTAATGTGTGTGACGTGAACGAATGAATGAGCTCGCTCGCGCGCGCACACACGAAAATCACTCAATCCAATTCAATTCCAAGTCCCGTTCCACAGAAACAAACATCGACCGAAACTGATTAGGTATGCAGAGCGTGTGACGCTAATTCAAACAACAAACTAATGGAAAACGGATGTTCAAACGCCTACCACACACTTCGTTCGAAGCGAACAAGAAATTCACATCACTGCTCTCAAAATCTGTCGTCTCCTCATTGGCGTTGTTTCTTTTTTTGTCTTTTTTTTTACTTATTAGGATTCTCTTTTTTTGGCTGGCGCCATCGCAACTAATTAACCCGTAGAAGGGCATTTTATATGCTGACAGCATTTTTATGCAACGCAACAAACGACCTTGACCAAATATTAAAAAATAGCATCACAATTTTTGGATATATCAAAGTCATCTTTAATCGCAGGAAATATGGATAACAAAAGACATCAATCTGCCTGAATGGAAACAGGATGGTTTTTTTTGGGGTTTTCGATACTCTAAAATTAAATTACGATTATCTTTTCTGGTCGGAGTCCGGAAATTATAACACATTTGATTGAATCACTCAGCGCATCAATGGCACTCCGGTTACTCTTAATTGGATTTGACTGAGAATGAAAAAAATGCCTGACTCTCGATCAAAATGTAACACCAAAAAGCCAAGCGGTTGTTGCTCTGCTATGACTAAATGAAGTTCTCAAGTATAGACGGAGAGATAGAGAGTGTCATCGAAATTATTATAGCAATTTCAGGGCCACTTCTTGACATTTCACGCTGTGTATCTTTTGAAATAAAATACGCCAATTATATCGTTGATACCGGAGAACATGGAACGTCGTTACGGATACATGTATATAGAGACAGACAAGCTTTTTAGTTCATAACGATCCGTCGCTTGAATTACGATGAACTCCATTTCAAGGGAGATTCTCAACACATTTCCCAAAAGTGCAGACAAAATTGCACGAAATAATATTGGGTACCGAAAAATGTGCCACATTCACCGTCTCACTACTGAACTATTTCGTTCGTATACGTTATATTGAATTTGGTATGCAGCGCGTAGATCGCGTTGTTATAAAGTTGGATTTTGTTGCATTGACGTCGTCGTCGTTGTCGTCGTAAGAACATTTGTCAAGTTGAATTTACACGAAGACATCCTGTGACAACTCAACCATTTTAAACAAATATACAAAGTGATGCCTTAATACCTGGAATGCTATAACCAACGGAATTTGATGTGAAGGTTTTTAGTTTGGTTATGAAAAAAAAACGATTATTTTTTTCTTCATAATAACGATATCAAATCTATCAACCACGATGTATACTCGTTCGCATGCAGTCTAAAAATACATTTTAATCGATA